AAAGATCTTTTGAAATTAGACCAAGGCTACATGATATGAGTGTAAGGGCCACAAAGAGCCAACCCTGCTCTAAGTCATGTTTTCACAGGAACTATAGGACTGTACCATGAATCAGTTTCCCCAGACTAGTGCATATCTAGCTGTTGCACTACGATGACCATCATTACTGGACTGGGCATCACTTTTCTCACACAACACCATTCTGCGATATCAAAATAGCCCTTCTAAAAATGGGAGAGCATGTTTGGGACTAAGCTATAATTTGTATCATTTTTTCCTTGCCAAGAGGCATATCTAAAAAGAAGCTAGATGGACAATTTATCTGAAACTCAGAATGAGAATTTAAAGTTATATTTGACCACCCACAGACACAATCAATGTGGAAAATATTAACTACAGACTTCATAAGCAATGGAGAAGTGGAAGAATTGTTTTCTTGCCTTAAAATAGGCTTGTCTGTATCTTTGAAAATCGTTTCCCTTTTGCCTTCTTACTTCACCTCTAAGGCCTTCTTAGCTTTGGTAAATCAGTGTACAAGGCACAGGAGGAGACTGTTCTCTATTTCTTTTTTTTTTTCCTTGCTAATACTAAATGGGACATTTGAACAAGTAACCCACCAATAGAACAATGCATGCCAAATGTTGCCCAGGGCTGGCAATGGCTTATTTGTATTGGTTGCCTACAATATTAAACTGGAATTCAGAAAATTAGGTGAACACATTTGGGATTCTTAATACTGTGGAAGTACGATGATCAGTGACCTGTAGTGTCACTGAATTGAGTTCCCAAGCAGTCCCTCATCCATGCCCGTATGGGACTTGAGCCTGTATAGCTTCAGCAATAAGGTTGTATCAAGTATTTCATTCCATGCCCTGAGGAGACTGAGTAGAAGAGACTGAGTATAGATTGCAAAATATTTATCTTCCTCAAGGTAAAGGAAAACATATTAACCAGTGCTTTTTTTGTCATAGAACGCACTGGAACAGAGTTCCGGCACCTTTTTTTGACAGATTTTCCAAGTTTTAAAAGTAACTTTTGAAAATTTGATGTTTGGTCCACATGGATTTGAATTGCCCTGTCAAATAGCAGGTCAGTGGGAAAATCATTAAAACAGTGAATGCGGGCTACTTGTGTGTCGAATCCGATGCATGCATATTTCATCTGCGCTGGTGCTGCTCAGCTTGTGATTGGTTGTGTGGTCGTGTGCTGAGTGCTTACTGCAGGTGGCAACCGTTATGTTTCATTACACAACTGAAGTGTGTGGATGTGTGTACAGTGATTGACTACACGCGAAAGGTAAATAATTTCATGAGTTCTGGCACCTTTTTTCTTACAAAAAAAGCACTGATACTAACTGAAACTATAAAACTATCTACTTGAAGAAACTTTTCCTGAATAAGGATGAAATTAAGGCAGCAAACCTGAGTCCCTGGGAAGCAGCTAAGCAGTGGTATAGCTAGGGCTGGCCCTTGAGCCCAATGTCCAGGGCTCCACAATGTGGGAAGGTCCCAATGACCACCCAGGGAAGGAGAGGAAAACAGCAAAAGACCTTGTGTCAGCATCTGAGCCAGCACAGCAAGCAAAGCCAATCAAGACCTTTTTGTCCTATCTTAAAGTGTGCGTGTGTGTTTGGGAACTGTCAGCTGGGCATCTACATGGTTACAGATGCCCATTTCATTATTTATACTTTAAATGTATATGATCCTTCTGTATTTCACTCACTCACAAGTCAATGTGTTCCTCATCAGAGCCACAAAACAAAACTCCATTTTATTCTGGTAGTCATAAATGTGCTATAACTTAAGTGAGTTGAAAATGTGAAACTGCATATTTTGGTGGGCAACCTGTTTGTTTTTGCTTGAATATGTCAAGAATGTAGAAGCTGTTTGAAAGCTTAGAGTGGAGGTGGGAAGAGGACTGTTAGTTGTGTGTTTCATAACTGAAGATGCCTAGGCAGGTTTCTCGTGAGGGTAGATCCCTGTTGGATTGTGACCTACTAGATGGGAGGCTCCAAAAGTTTGTTGAGTTCACTTGCTAAAATTGGCTAATGCAACTGGTGTAGCTAAGGGGATGTTGGCTGCTGCTCAGATCTGTGGTTGGAGAGGGAGGTCCATTGCCAGATATATCCTTGTGACACTGGCTACCCAAGATGATCCAGCAAGGTAGCTCCATAGATAGACCATGCTAGAAGATGCTATGGATCTGCAAGAACTTTATCTCCTCATCTCCTCCCAGACACATCCTCCTTGAAGGCCCTGAATAACCCTAGTGCTGTGTTTGGCATAGGTAATTTCCTCACAACAGGAAGCAAAGAACAGGAGGTGGGCAGGTATTAAAAAGGAGGAGGAGGAGGGGTGGGGGGGAAGTATCAACCTATCCTGGCTACAAGATGGCAAATTGTGGGTCTGACACAGATTAACCACAGAATCTTTCTTTTCTACTCCTTTACAATTGCTCTGAAAATCTTATGTAATTTTCAAATATGAAACTTCAGTGACAACATATTAAGTTTCAGTACAATAGCTGCCAATCGCAAGAGCACTCTTACTTATTACAAATTCCAGGGATTTTAATGAACATAGTAAGGAAATGGAATAGGAGGAATTTAGCCTAATCAAAGCTCTAACTGATGTAGTTAGAACTGTTATGTGGTTCTCATCTGATTTCAATATGCTTTAACTTTTTCTGCTTATGGCTATGACAGCCAATTTAAAAAACAACATTGCTGTTTACATAATACAAAAGGGGAGTTACTTCAAGGCCCATTTAACATTCATCTGTTTTCAATATCTGTTTATTGAGCATTGATGAAAAACAGTCAATCTGAAAACATTTGCAGCAACCATTTCATAGCTACTCAAGCCTATGCTCATACATTACATCATGGTTCAAACAGCTCAGCAAAAGACAAAGTTTCATCATGGCCAGGCATTTTGATTTTGTACAATATGGCTTACAAAAATAATTTTGCACTTAGAAAATAAATCAGATTCTCAATAAATTACAATATACTTATTATTTAACAAGGTAGAGTAGCTTGTATAAAATAGATAAAATTAAGAGTTCAAAAAGGCAACTATTTTATTTCTGAATATAGAACATTTTGGCAGTCTATGAAATCAAAATATTGTACATCTTAAAATGTAGATATGATATTAAGCACTAACAACTCTGCTTTTCTGTTTGCCTGCTGCATTGCTCAGGTAATATAATTTTTTTATCCAAAAAAAGAAAAGTGCCAGTTACATGACATTTGCTCCATTGACCTTGAATGTAAACTGACATATTAAGAATGTGCAAGAACCTTTGTGTGTTCCAAGTGGGCAACTTGGACTGGTAAAGTCTGCAGTCCAAAATGTGAGTACAAATTGCCCAGCGTCTTGATGGGAGAGTGTTGAGTTGAAAGGACCAGTCTCCTAGCTTGTAGACTCATACCCCATCTCATCCTCTGGCTCATGGTCTATAGTGGTGCTCTGGTAATGTGCAGCATGAGATGGGCAACCCATGTGCAGGGATCTCCTGGCAAATACACCCCAGCTTGTGTCTGGATCTACTTCTTGGATAGCCTTCATTACTGGCCTTTCTGAGATTTGAAATTATACTTAACATTGAGTCTCCTTTCCAGATGAGATCTGGGTAACGTGTGTGGTGATGGGAGAATTTATTCTGCCAATGGCTTCCATTTTAGTGACAGATGAACAACAGAAGACCCTGCTGAATGAGATGAGCTGTGAACAGAGCCCTTCCTCTTGTGGAAGAGTCCCTCTTCTTGAAGGAGGCAGCTTATGGATCCAGTCCAGTGTGTGCAGATTGAAACAAGGTTCTTGACACATTCATGCTAGCTTGCTGCTTAAGGGTACATGTGCATTTTCAAATATCCATCTATTTATTCCACTTGATAAAGGAAATGGAAGAATATGAGTCAGTGAGAAACAAGAAGAGTCACAGATAACAATGGCACTGCCACCATGTTGTATGACCATTGTGACTGGTAGACCCCTGGTCTGGGCTTTTTGACATGAGGCATGTGTTGTCCTTTCACAATGATGCCATCATTCCCCAGGAATGCAAGTCTGCAAGTTTTCTAGAAATATTTCCAGGGGTTTTTTTAAATGAAGATACTCCAAATATTCTGGCATTTTCCTAAATGGTGCTAATGTTACAGAGACCTAGTGTATTTTTGTAATTCCACACTATGCCACATACAACCTTGTGTTGTGCAATGGAACATATAGGCATATGTAGAAAAACAGAGAGGAAAACCTCCAAGAAAAACTTCATGCTGAGAACCTCCTATAAAGAATGTAGAAGCAGTCTCAGTAAAGCACTGGGTTATGTGCTTCATGGAGAGAGCCAAAATAACCTAGACCAAATATTTCAGCATAATTTATACTGGGTATCACCTGAAAGTAGATTTCCTACATCAAATCACAAAAGTGCTGTTTCTCAGGGGTTCTTTATATTTATTTTTAAAGGGAATTTATTTAACAGAGCCATATTTACTTAAAAATAAGTTCCATAGTCATTAGGAAAATTTGGTTCCACTCCTATGCAATGTTTCTGGGAGAGTGCTCCACCAAATACAATGGGCCATGTTTCTAAGTAAATGCAAACAGGTTTAGTATACAACACACACACACATGCCATAAAGATGCTTGTAGGAAGTATTTTGGCTTTCAACCTTCATTGTATACTCAAGAAAATGAGACACCTGCTTTGATTAACTGTTAAAACTGCTTGCTTTACTGTTTCATTATTTCTACATTTCAGCTTGCAATTTTATTAAAATCAGGTTTTGCATTCTGTTATGAATAATACTTACTTAAGGCTTTTTAAAGATGACAAATGTTACAAAGGGACAATAAATTAAACCTCTTCAATTATGATTCAAAGGCATTGCAAACAAGGAACAGCTTTCCCTGAATTCATCTACTAGCTCCCACAAAGTATATCTGAAGTCAGGCTTTAAAAAAAAAAACATTAGCAAAAATTATCCCCCCTCCCTGGTAAAGAAAATGACAACACCCAAACTTGTCTCCAAATGGAGACACAACAACAACACCCAAATATGTCTCCAAATAATCTTTGTTTATTTTAATGACAGTTTGAAATTTTCTGTCCTGAATCTTCCAGTGTCGTAATGGGTGAAACACAGTGCTTGTTTTACAAAAAGTATTGATGAATATCACAATGACTTTTGTTTCAGAAGAGACTGCTGTGCAATAACTGTAACTTGGTTTGTAGGTATCTTGTAGTCCTGGCCAGAGCCTTGTGGAGGAGAAGGCAGTGGAGTTTCAGGAGTTGCTGAAAAAGAATTAGAAAAAAATCCAATCATACCTGAGTCTGCAACACAGACTGGAGATGAAATGTGGGAGCAATAACCAAGCTGCAGTGGATTAGAAATAGTCATCTCATTTATTACCACCAGCTGACAGAATTTGGCGTAGTACAAAGCAAGGCACCAGGCATCATAGGGCAACCTGAATGCTAGCCACTGCCGCCATTTCAGCTTCCATACTAGATTAGCACTGAAGAGAATGGCAGGAATCTTGGGGCCAGCGGTTAGCTAGGGATGGATCTTGGGCCCAGGTTCAGGTGAACTTGTGTGAAGGGCATACAACCACTGAGAGAAACCTGATAAGGCTTCAGGGTAGTAAAAGCTCTCTCCATTGTATTCCCGTAGGCATGACGGTGCCATGATTTAAGAGTGTTTTAACTGAAAAACTGCACTTGCACAAATAATTCATTTTAAAAAATCAGGATTGGTAAATAGACTTGCTGCTATAGTTGTTGCACAATATTAAGATTGTAGAAGCAGTTGTTCACCATGGCAGGCTGGTTGCAGTGGAGAGAAAGCTATTCACAACAGTTACATGCCTATCTACAGAAAGTCCCATAAAACTATAATGTTCAGAGTCTAAAATTATCTACTTGCACAATCATTTGAGGCCACTGCAGCACAAACCAAGAATGCAAGTCGTAGGTGAGCCAGTCCCTAATCTGGGCTGGGACCATAGGTGGCCTAACAAGATCCCTTATGGAGATCACTCAGTGGTGGTGAGGAGTTGGCAAATATCCCCACCCATTCTGCTATGAACCCAGCTCAATGATTTCAGAATCTGCAGAAATATGGATCAATGAAATTCATGCTATGAGATGTCAAGCATCATTGCCATGAGATGATAGACACCAAGCTTTACTAAGACCAATAGTGAATGTTCATAATTTTTTTCATGCTCCAATTAAGTAGTAGTCAATCTCTCTTCATAGCAGGGTAGCAAGCAAGTTGGTTATGACAATACTGAAACCATGAGAACCAAGGACAGAGATTCTCCTTCTGGTCTGCTCCCAAGCCCTAGTCTCAAGATCCAGTCAGCATAGGTTGGGCCAGTGTTTGTTATGTGACACATGCAGGGGCCAATTGCTAGCTGCACACCAAAAAGGAAGCTTCCCTTTGTTCTCTTCTATCACTCAAGTAATAGGTACAAAAGGTGCCTCCCAGTGATTGGCAACCTTGACCTTATCTTCACTAAGGTAAAGTTGAAACAGCAGTGGGAGAGGGTGCTTTTCTATAGATATTTTTACCCTGCTGAGCAAGCAGTCCACCTTTTCTGTGCATGCCACAAAGATGTCCAACAGGACAATCCAGTTGCCAAAGCACAGAACAGATGTCCTTCCCACTCTCCCTCGCTTGTTTCAACAGTGAAAACATTTTCTCGCCTCTTCACACCCAGTTTAGACAGCAGAGACTGGTTGATCAGTGACCGTGCACCAGATTAAAGTGGCAACAAAGCATTGATTTGATGGTTCTCAATACCATTATCATGTAGCCAAATCCAATTGGCTACAGGAGACTCTGATTTCACTTGCTGTCACTACCAGATCTTCAAGTGGCTGGCTCACTCAAAAAAACAAAAAACAAATCCAGGCTTGTGGAGGAATGGAGTAGGAGCAACATGCAAAACAAGATGCTACACGTGCCACAAAGAGCATAAACAAAATGGTACCATTTAATAATTTTTCAGACAACATTTCATGGTCTCCAAAAGGCCCTAACTGAACCTCAAGAATGTTCATGGATAAAAACGGACAAAAATTTGGCATGCCTGTAATTTTTACAACCCTCACTAAAAGAATTGCTTAAGGGGAAAAAAGGATACTTGAATTCAAATTGTTGGATTCATCACTGGTTATCAAATTCTGCAAAAGAACTTTTTTTCCCCCTAAAAAAATAGGTGGGGGGGGGAACTAACTAATTCACCAACTAGTTAAAAAAAACCACAGAAAATATAATTGAATTATATGTTTGTGATGAACTTACAAATCTGTTCAGGGCCAGTCACTGAACTTATAAGCAGAGTTTGCCCAGTAAGTGGATCTTGGGCTAGGTGAGAATGTACTGGATGGAGATTAGCAGAATCATTAGACATACCTGCAACAAAATCCCAAACATGTGTCAGTTCTATTCAAATGAATATTTTGCTACTGCAAACAAAAACCAAAAGGAAAAAAAACACATCACAAAACTGTTTCCTTGTTCAAAATAAGTTGCCAGTCCTCAGTGATGTATGTGTCTGTTTGGTACAAGCAAACATGGAACTACACACTGGGTAAAACAGGAATAACTAATATAGAAAACTTTGAAGTGCCGTGGCTTAATGTCATCCATGAAAAGTAGTTCTCAAGAAGCACATCACCTTGTGCCTTGTAGATTTAATACTCCCATTTAAAATAGACATTATTTAAAAATAGTTGAATAGATCTATGTGATTTCTTTTATAGCTACTATGTGCTTTGGTTTCATTTTATAATTTATGTAAAAATGATGTCTGTAGCCTCATCAACCAAACTCTGCTTCTGTATAACCCATGATATAAAGATTAGTAAAGTAGTTTGTACAATTCTATGTGATTGCTTGAAACAGAACAATAAAGTATCTATAGACCATGTCAGGAAGATGTTAAAAGAGTTTCTGCTCTAAACATTGAAAGAAATAATCATCTCACTTCCAGCACTCCTGGAATCTGCAGTTAGATCTCCAGTTGGATCCCAAGGACTATTACCATGCAAGTTTGTTTCATACTGATCATCAATGCCAGCACTGTCTTGTCTAAGTAAAGGCAGCTCAGTTAACATCTCACGCTAACAGAGAAAGAGCTATTCTGCAGTTGATAGACTATTGTCACATGATTTTGCATTCTCATCTCACTAATTTTGAGCACTAGGTAGCCTATTGCCATACCTACCTCCTAGCAACATTTCCTGTAGTAGGCTGTCAATTTTAACCATACCAAATAGTTTCACAAATTGTATTTGTTCAATCATTTGCCAGGTAATACTCTGGAGAGTAGGCAAAAGTAGCAGGAGTTCTCCAAAGCGTCCCCTGGAGTCATACTGACGGTCATTGATGTAATCCTCCAGACTGATCTGAACTTGAAACCTCATGTTCCTAATCTTCGTTGGGTTACTCAATCCTTTTGCATCTTCAACAAAACATCAATGTTATACAAAGATACAACACATTACCACAGAAATACAATGAAGCACATAATTAGCTCCCTACAACATCACAACCCCTTGAAATATCCTTGAAATTTTATCAGAAAAGTTGAGCACCACCGTTCTGTTCATGTCCCGAAAAGAATGTTTGTTTCTTAATTCTTTCTTGGTATAGAGTATGGAGGTTATGCAGTGGCAAGAAAAATGAACACAGCAGATGCTCAGAAATCTTTTTTTATTTATTACTTAATATTCTTCTTTGATATTGAAAATAGATCCAGCATTAAATCCTGTCACAAAATAAACCCTGGCTACTTTCACAGTAGAGCTGAAGAAAGTAAGAATCTATCAGCTATATCATTTTGTTACTCAGAAAGATATATTGCTGGTGTCTGAAGGACACTGACCAGTGAGAACATGAACATCAAGTGCTGATTCTGTGGGGTCTATCTTGCACAGCCCATGTATAAAGGAAACCCTCAGGAACTTGGTTGAAAGACAGTAGGTACATTCATGACTCTGGATACCAGCAGGAATCCCAATACCCAAACTATGTTGAAGGACACATATACTGCCAGCCATCATGGCTGTAGAGGCAGGTAATATCACCTGCTCTTCACCAGTTGTACAGAGGTTACAAAAGGCTAATTTTGTATTAAGCTAATTTCAGAAAATGTGGTCTCAACCATCCAGTGTCAGGCTAACTTAAGCGCCATTCATTTCATTGGGTTGGCTTTAAGTAGGGAAATATAGATATAACCCAGATGGAGAGTGTTCATCTTGATCTGAATGTGGGAATTACACTCCCCTTATGGGAAAAGGTTCATATCCTGGGGATCTTCCTGGATTCATCTTTGTCACTTGAGGCTTAGGTGGCATCAGTGTCCCACTTTCTCCCACTTTCACCTCGTGCACAGCTACAACAGGGTTAACATGATTATACCCTGGGAACCTCTAAATTAGATTACTACATTGCGCTGTATGTGAGACCGCCCTTGAAGACTGTTCAGAAGCTGCAGCTTATACAAAATGTGGAATAACTGGAACAAAGTTCAGAACATAAAACACCAACTCTGACCCAGGTGCACTGGCTACCCATATGCTTACAAGCCCAATTCAAGGCAATGGTTTAACCTATAAAGCCTTAGATTGCTTCAGACTGCAATACCCAATGACCCACCCCTCTCAACCTGAGCCTTCTTGGACACTTGTTGACTAAAGGCCTTCTGAGGGCTTTCTTGAAGTACAAACTCAGACAGCTGCAACAATGAGAGAACCTTCTCAGTGGAAGTTTCCCATTTACAGAATGATGTTCCCACTCATACCTGCCTGGTACCAACTATTTTGGTTCCATGTTGAGACCTCACTTCACCCAGGCATTTAAATACACTTAAGGATATTTCATGACATCATATGGCATTTGTGTCATCTGCTTTTAATAGGTCTAGTTATACTAAAATTGTTATAACTGTTTGTTTTTTATTTATGTATACAGGAAAAATCACATTGTGTTTATGTCTTTTTAATGCTATTTTCATTGTATTTGTGCACTGTACTTTATGATTGTTGTGAACCACCCAGCGTGTTTCAGCTCTTGGATATTATAGAAATGAAATAAACAACACCAGAATAGGAAAGTTTTCTGCTTTTCTGCTTAAAGTATGTGAATTAATGAATACTTCAATTTCCCAAAGAAGACCAAAGTAAAATTGTTCCAGGATCATTACTGTTCAAAAACTTTAAATCCTGTTTCTATGACCCTGCTATCTCTGCTACACTAGGGTTATGAAACATACCTGGATCAAAGAAGACAATTGCCTTCAGGCAAGCATATTCATTATCATCAATTTGAAGTTCCTGAAATGGTTGTATAATCTCATCCAGAATCCGGTTTGCAACTCGACTGATCTCCATTACAGAACTGTTTCGATGGATTACAAAATCATTACCTTAAGAAAGAAAATAGAACCAGTAGCATTAACAATATCTGGGGACCCAAAATGCAAGGCAGTTCCTATTTTTTGACAACACATTTCCACATATAAATAGCTTCATAAAGTCCCTTCTCCAAGCATACTTATTGTTCTCTACATATAATGTGTCAGCAGACAATTGTTCTACTGTATAATACTTATCATCATGCATTATGTTACCATAGTTCATCTATAGATGTGTGATGTGTGGTAGAAGCACTTACTTTTATGATAAGAAATCTATGTTAGTAAAGTGGATTTCCCAAGTCAAGACCAACTGAAGATTCAAAGAGGGTACAGGGGCATCCCTGAGATGTCTGGTTGGCCACTGTGAGAAACAGGATACTGAACTAAAAGGGACTTTTGGCCTGATTCAGCTGCCCTCCTTTATGCTCTTACATGTAGAGGAGAAGAGGATATTTACTGATCTCATGGAATACCCACCCTTTTAGTCAAATATTGAAAAGTGTTTTCTTTCCAAAGCAATGGGTGGAACATTAACAAGCTTATTAATGCATGTTTGTAATGAAAATATATACAAAAGATTATCATGAACACTATACACACACATCATCATCATCATGTGCCATCAAGTCATGTCCAACTTATGATGACCCTATGTATAAAAGCTCTCCAAATGCCCTATCCATCTCCACAATGCCCTATCCATCTCCACCTTGTTCAACTCATGTAAATTCAAGGAGGCGGCTTCTTTTATGGAGTCAATCCATCTTATATTGATTGATAAGTCATCTAATATGGATTGACTCCATATATCATACAAGGAAGGTGGAGGTCCCATAAAAATGGGGGAAGTTTCTTAACAATGCTGCATCAATCCCCATCTCTATGTCCACCCTGTTCCTCAAAGCCTCACTACCATCCATGCGGCACTTACAGAGAGATTCCAAGCCTCATGTGTCTTATGGAAGACACTTATAGCTAATGCTCCAGGTCAAGGTGTCAGGTATACTTACTCCTCAGGAGACAGAATTGTGATGTTAAAAGGTAAATCAGATATACACTTACCTAAAAGAATGATGTCCTTGTAAGGCATAGACCGTTTTGCTGCTCCAAGCAACAGGTGTTCTCCAGCATGTCCTCTTAATAGAGCAACCTTGAAAAAAAATTCACATAGAATGGTAACATAAAAATAAAGTGAACAGAGTAAGACAAATGACCTGCATTAGCTGTTTCTGCTATGGTAAGGTACCCACACACTTATATTAGTAAACTGTATTTCTGATAAGAGGTTTCTACGTCATAAATACAGTAGAAAGTTGTATTTTTATAAGCTCCCTTTTGTAGCAAAATGCAAATTAGCAAACCTCGAGCTTGTCAATATTCTTCCAATTCTAAATAGAAGATCATTCTGATTCATTTCCATATTAGAGTATAAGTTTTATTTCCTTTTTGTACCAAAAATCATGTGCACTTTTCCCTAAATGTACTCCTCCATTATGGACATTTTTGAAATGCACACCTTTGACCATCAATAAAAGCATACTTTCTGCATTTTCCAAAAGCACTCAAGTTTGCCTGCACAATTTTCAAATGCACTTATTTCTCAATTGCATTTTTGTTTGTTCTGTGAATTGTGCTGCAAGACTGAAAGTGGGGAGACTTCAAATACAGATTTGGGTCTGTTTGATTCTGGTCAAAAACAAACTAAAATAAATTCTTCTTACATCTCAACACACGTGTCCTTTGGTTTCCAATTTCTCAATACCTGGACATCTCATGAAAAACAGGCTGTGAAACTCTCTCCCTTACTTCCCTAAAACTAATTTAGTTTCCCTGACCTCACTGGCCTTAGCCTCCCATCTGCTCTTTCAAAGCAAGTAGGAAGAGGTCTTTGACATTTTCCTTACAGAATTAAAATTAGGTGTTCCCTTGATCCATAACATGCATCTGTATATCTTATTTTCCCTTAATTAATTACAGGTGGGATGATATTATTTGGTAGTCAGCAAACAGAGAAGGAAAACATAGCTCTTTCCTCACTGGTGATAGTGGAAGGCTAGAGGAGCACCAAGCTAAGCTTCCTAGCCGCAGCAGGGTAGGCAGGTTCTTCCCATGAGACAGTGGAGGGAAGAAATAAGTGTGCCTTCCCACACTCTATGTTCTAAGTACAATTTACCCCTGTATAGAATTAACTAAGGAGGAGAAAAAAGACATAGTTTCATACTGAGCATCAAGGGAATGTCTAGTTTGACTTTTAAAAGTAAATTTTCCCTAAACCCTAATTTTCTTGGTCCTCACTTTGATTTGAGATTTCTACTTGTATGTTTGCTTGGCCTTGGTAGTATGTGATTCTGGAAGGTGATTTTGTTTAGCCTTGCTCTGGATAATCAAATCTAATGAAGGTTCTTATTCAAGGCTCTTATTCAAATACGGTGAAGTAAAGATTATAAACCAGCTCTCCCATGAGCCATGATTAAAGTCCTGGGTTTACTAATACTGTTTCAATTTTCCTAATGTAATACAAGCAGTGAAGGCTTTACTCTCTTCATGTTTCCCTTTCTTTCTCACTTCTCTCTGTATTTAAATATTAACAGCTCATCTGTATAACTAAAACCATTAAGCATAAATTGGATAAATTAAATTTGATAAATTACATTGTACATAAAAACAAAAAAACAAAAGGCAAATGTCAGTCATATCTCTGCTTGCCAGCACTGCTATTGTACTAGATTCTGGGCCACCTGAAGTTTCCCAACATCCATCCAAAGTCTGTGAAAGTTGCCTGACATAGACCACATTGCAGAAGAACAAATAGGACTACTGGATTACGTTGCTCAATGTATGATTCCATAAAGTGTCTCTATGTTGATTGTGATTTATTTTCTTTTAAGAGTTTGGTGAGCTATACCTTTTCATGGATAACTTAGGTCAATAGAACTTTCAATTATGTATATCTGGAGTTTTATTTGCTTTCCAGTGTTGTAGAATGTGATTAGTGTATTATTAGCTATTAGTGTATTCTTACCAAACCTTGTAGCATGACGGGTCCCATTTGCCAGGTCCAATTTGCCCGGAATGCCTTCCACTAAGACATGGGCATCTTTTACAATAAGTTCAGTTTCTTAGTTTGGTTTAATATCATAGAATGATGTTATGTCCAAACTGGAAACGGATCATTACACAGTGCTGTCATATAACCATAGCATAGGGTTCCTGGTACATTGTATCATACCTGATCATCCAGACGCAGTTCACAGAAAGCTGGAATATATTTTGCCCACTCCACGAGAACCAAGAGCTGTTGTTTCATAGATTCACAAACATCACTAATACTGGCAATTTTCTTAACATTTATGTCAGTAGTGCTAGAAGTGGAGTTTGAAACAGGGATCTGGCCATAGTCAAAAGAAATTGTGAACAAAGGTCTCAAATTATTAGTGATCTTCATAAACTTTTAATTATTTTTGCCAAATGATTTCATGTTCCTACAGTTCACAAGTATAAGGCCCTCACACAAATATAATAACAGAATTTAGTTCGACAGTGAGTATATACTGAATATTTCCTAGACAGATGATAGGCAGGCAGACAGGCAGGTAGACAGTTGACAGAAGTCACATATATTTAGACACAGATATGAAAATCCTAAACAAGTGATGCGAATAAGCAAACTGTCCCTGCTCTTCCATATTGTGTTCATCACCCATTAAGGGTTCTCATGGATGGAGACATTCTGAAGAAAAGAGCCTTTTAAACCCACAATGAGGAAGTGGGGGCATGCCAGAAAAACAGCATTCTAGGTCACATGATGACCCTCCTTGGACAGCGGAGGATCTTCTCTTCAGAGAGTCATCCTCTATGAACAAAATTGCCTGTGGAGGTGTGGAGTTGCAGTGCACACACTCCTCAGGTGTCTATTCCACACACATAAGGAAAGAATGAACATAGATAAATGTATAGCTGGATGGACTGAGATGTCCATTCTGTATGGTGAATACGTAGCCCTTGTGTCTATACTGCAGCAGAGACTAATGGGTCAGTCCTATGAATTGAAATCATATTACTTTCAGTGACACTTACTGCCAGGTAAGTGTGAATAGGATTGTAATCTTAGTCTTTTATTTTATGAACAGATCCTTCTGTAGCTGTATACAGGGTGTTGGGGGAGAGTGGAGAAGCTAAAGATCAGGGTACATTATTGGGAGAATGCTAGTTTTTCATCGGAAGAAATACTACTAAGTAGCTTTCTATCACTTAGTAGAAAGGAATACTACTAAGTAGCTTTTCTATCACTGGTATCGAAAAGAAAGAAATGTGGCATGAAAAACAAAGGTGAGTATAGTATATCTTCTGAACTATATGAAGATTTTCTATAAGGTCCTATATAGTGATTTTCTATATGGTCCTATATAGTAATCAACAACATATCCACCCTCTCTTTTCCTACTCCCAGAACAAACCCTATTTTCACTGCTGTAACAGAAGTCATCCTTTAGAATGGACTTTCAAACCTTGACATTCTGTCAACTTCAAGCTGAACATTTCTCCAGTTCAGAGTGCTTAGAGAATCATGTCAGAAGGCTCCTTACAAATTACGTCTAATAGGGCTAATGGCCTGAACCTGAATCAGGCAGTTAACTATTTTGAAAATGAACAATGTAAAAAAGCATTTTTATGAAAGTAGCTGAACAAAATTATAATGTTCTTCAGGGGGTCTTCCTGTCTTATTTTAATGTTGCAAATACAAAAGGATAAATGCATTTAGAAATAATGGATACAGAGACTATTCCAAAGGTCAAGGTGACTCCCTAGGCATAGTGGTAGATTATTGTACCTGACGAGAGAGCACTTCAGCCTGGGACAATGTGTTAATAGAAGGAATGTTACTGCTGTCAAAAATGCTTCGTCTCGTGCTTATCCTGTCCCGTTCATTCTGTACAGCTGAAAGGGGAAAACATCAAATATTCTATTTATTTGCATGCAGACCATGTTTCTGCACAACATTTTAAAGTATTATCAAGAAACTGTGTGCACCATATGTTGTCAAATCTGTTATTTGTGAGAATCATAAGAGAAGAACAGAAAAACATCTTGTAAAGTTTTATATTGACATTAGCATAAATGTTCCTACAGTAATTCCAGAAGGCGGCATTATTTTGACTTGCAACCCAGCCCAATTCACATGACCACAACAGTTCAACACTGTCAGAAACTAGGCATGGGAAGGAGGAGTCAGGACAGAGACACAAGGACCACGGCAACAGAACTTGAAATGAGAGGGTCCAAAATCTGCTTGAAGTCCAGGAGTAAAGTCACAGACAGTATCATAGTCAAGGTGCAGGCTGAATTCAGGGACTAGGACTGCTTATTGGAACAAAATTAAGATGAGGTCATAAACAAACCAGTGGTCAAGAACATAATTGGACATGTCATAATATGACAAAGAGACATGTGGGTACATCATAAGAAATTAAATTTCTTTCACAGCATTTCATTTTCATAAAAAGAAACACCACTGGGTTGAATTCAGAGTTGCACCCTCACACATACAAACCAAAGGGCTTCTTCTGATAGTGGTGGAAACTGAAATAAATCAAATAAGGACAAACCTGGCTATTTTTCACCAGTTCTTTCTTCCTGCAGTTCCCAGATGCACACACAGTTTTGAGAAATTCTCCAACCTCCCAGACCAAATTGGTAAGGGCACAGGGAAGGAAACCACCTTCCCTACATTGCCATGTCACCCATGAGATCTTTCAGTTTGCGGATTTGGTTTTCTGTGCCACTCTAGAACCAATCCATACTTTTTCTGCCCAACTTAATTAAATTTTAAGGATCTAACACTGAAAGATATTCAATATGCATTAAACCACAGAATTCTGACCAGATAGTCTGAAGCAGAACTATTCAAAGAGATTCTGGAAAGAGAACTGCAGGATAGAACACAAGGCTTGTGAGGCAGCAATGTCCCTTTTAATACAAAAATGAAAGAGATAAATAAAGCTACCAATCAGCTCTCCTGAATCTATTTTATGTCCAAGGTCACATCAAGGAGAAAAAAGCATAGTTCTAATCAACATATTTCTTTAGTGCATGCACAGAACCTCATAACCTTTTATAAGAGCAGCAGTTGTATTTCCAATGATCCGTTTGTTATTTTTAGGGAAGCAATCTGCATCTGAAAAGTTGAGAGCCAGCACAAATGCTTCAATAAAAATGTGTTCTGTGCACTATATAGTATTCTGCAGTTTATATGAAGAATGAACACACTTTATGGTAAAGGCGCACTAGATTCTTAGCCAAGGACATTCACTGATGGGCCTTTTATTAAGGTCATAATAAGAAATGTCGTACAGTGATAAACACTAAGTGATAAATGGTCATGCAGACGTGAATCAAGAATGATGGTCCAGCCTTTTTCACTGGAGAAACGCTATCTTTTTCATTCCTTAACTCAGCATCTAAACAACCAAATGTTGTTAAAGCTTTAAATATAAAATTATACCATAGAGATGGGCACCTAGTCGCTAAGGTCATTCTGTGTAAATGGTGGGACTGTGTTAAAAGTATTTTTTGAAAGAAAAAGGGAGGGAGGGAGGGAGGAATCTCATCTGAAAAGTTTATTACTAGTTTGTAGAGGTTTTAAATAAAAGATGATCCTTCAACCAGAAGCAAGCTAGGTTGAAGGCAGAGGTTTGAGCAGTTCCATTTTTTAAAACACATGGCAATTTGTAAATTTTTTAAATGGCTAATGAAATTTGGGTAAATAAGCACCTTCAAACTATATAGCTTTAGCATGAGTTGGGCAGAATCAGCCAATATCCATAAGCAAATTAGCTGATTCTGACCAAAGTTCTCTACAGCTATGTGATTTGGGGGGTGGCTATTTGCACAAATTTCATTAGTGGTTAAAAATGTGCAAATTGTGGTTCATCTCAGAGATAGAAGTTGGCAAGCTGGCTCGTCCCACATAGTATGTCAGCACCATGCTAACAAATTGGCACCCATGAGGACCAAATTGTGAAAAACTTTAGCTCACTGCCCAGAAAGGTTCATTATTAAGCAAAAATTGAATTAATAAATAATAAAATCCGTTGGATTTTCACTTCCCTTATCAGATTCTTCACACATCTCTAGAATAAGAAGCAATGATCTAACTGTTCTCAGTGAAACTACTACCCCTTCCCACTTCCTATTGTGACTTTTTACAAGCTTGGAGAGTTTGAAAAGTAGATTTTAATTGGGCAAGGCCATGATGTGGGGATGGGGGATGTAGAGAAAAACCCTGCCAAGCGTATGTAACTCGGACCAGCCCAATCTATTGTGCTGCTTGAGGCAAAGGACAAGATGCCTTCCCCCCTTCCAAATACAGGCAGTTAAATTTTACTTCAGTAGAGATGTTGGAACAAGGTACTGCACTATATGTGAAGGTGGGATGTTAGCTGCAAATCAACAAGCAGAGGGATATCTACAGAACAGAGCATGCAGCAGAGTTCTGTCCACCAACAGAAGGGAATGACTGAGAAAATTGGAAGCAGTGGCCAGGGGGTCTCTGTTCTTCAACATCTGCTGCCTGAAGCAGCTGCCTCACTCTTCCTAATGTCCCTGGTATAAGATTTTCTCTTAATGAGGGTTCAGTTTATGGTCAGAAGATCATACATGCATTACTGAATAGTAATAGACATATGAAGAAAAAATCAAGACAGCCCTGTGACTGAGGTTTTAAAACTGTTAGGTTCCTAGTTCAAAACATAGGCTCTGTATGACTGCCAGGAAAAATATAATACAATAAGAGATAAATTAAATTTAATAGATCTGTTTTCTGTGGAAAGTGATGGATGAGAGAACCTTTGGGAATTCCTTTCTGTATTTACAAATATGTAAATCTGTGTCAGGCTTCTTCAGCAAAGTAATGAGTCTCTTTAAGAAAGAAGTAGTTCTTCTTTGTCTTTCATACACCCACACAGAGAAATAAAACAAGGTTATAATTTACTAATGGCCTGAATCTGAGTTGACAATGTTCCTGTGTTAATGTGTCAATGACAAAGGAATAACCAAGCAAGCTATTATTCTTTCTAGTCCACAAATGGCTTGACCTTTATTACATCTTTTTGCCCTGAAAATCAGTCACCATGCAACAATTTCAAGTACAATCCAGAACTGACAGGGTTTTGTTTGTAGAGTGTCAATGTACAAAACTGGCTTCCAGATCAGCTCCTTAAATTTATCCAAAATGTCCCTGATTTCAGTGTAAAGTTGGCAGTTATGCTCATGTGCAGAGCATTTTATACCAGCAGTCACATGTCTCTTTCCCTAGTTCTTTTAAATCTGAAAAGCACCCTCAGTGATTGCAAGTGGTAGTGGTAGCAGTAGGGGATACGGAATGCCGAACCAACATTCCTCCTGCTGTTCCACTATGGGGTCCCATATCTTTTCCACTGTGGAAAGAGTTGTCTTTCTCCCTGTTATATTTCTCTGTCTTTAAACATTTCAGATTTGTGTTTTTCAGACTTTTACTGGCTTTTATGCAACAGAATATCTCTCTCTACCACAATTTACCGGGACTCTACACTCAACCTCCGAGACCTTCCTCAGAGTGCCACCACTAAGCAAGGCTCAGTTGGCAGCAGCAAAGAGGAGGGGCTTACCTGGGGTAGGCCCCCAGTTATGTGCAGTTTCCTCACTGAGGCCCACCTGATGCCAACTGAGGCCAAGGTTCAGATAGCCTTTTATGCAAAGGCATTTTACACCTCCAATAGCATATGGGACTTGGGGGTTCTGTCAGCTATTTTTAATGAACCTAGTTCTGTTAATTTGTCGTAGTTATTTGAGTCATTTAAACTCTGATTTGTAAACTTCCTTTGTGAAATTTTATGTTTTACTGTTTTATACTGTATTTTATTACACTTTATGAAGAACTTGTAAACTGCCCAGATAAGTACAGAAATACGATTAATTAATTAATTAATTAATTAATATTTTGTTTTTACCTTGACTTGGTTCTCTTTTAAACTTAAATTTTTATATTGTATTTTGTTATGTTGTTACTCTGTTATTGTATCTCATAGCTTTAAATTTCTTTTGTGAACCTTGCAGAGAAGTTCTTGGGCAGTATAGAAGTTAAATTAAATTAAATTAAATTAAATACTGGAGAAAACATGCAACTTCTTGTCAAACCTAGTTTGGGCCTCCAAGTCAAGAGAGATTTTTATCTCACTACAGAATTGTCCCAAGTGAAAATACTGGGACTGTAAAGGATGCAACCAGAAACAATACTAATGAACTCAAACCCTAATTTGGCACTTAGGGATATGTCTTGTTTCCACTCAGACTAATTTCCAAATCTGCTTTGCCTCAGGTCCCAAAGCCAAGTAAATATATAGAAATATAGGCCTGAATTGAGAAAAATCTGATGTTTCATGCTTCCCATTGAGTATTATGGGAAATCCAAAACTGGCTATACCTTTTCTTCTTTGCTTGTTCAAAGTGGATGCGATTTGTAAACATAGTGGCAGTGGTTGCTTAGGAGTGGATTACACCTTCCTAATACAAAAAAGTACTAGGCATTTTATGCTATATGCCATGCTATGTCATGCTAAGCTATATTCTGTGACCTTTTTAAAAGGAACTGCTGATAACTTATCATGCAAGCACAGTCTTCACATTTTGAAAATATCAGTTAAAAAATTAGAGGATTCCACTTAGTCTCCCTATGTTGCTTCTGGATCATTCTTCTGAAAGTAACAGATTGTACAAAGGTGGCTCTAAGAAAATTACTATGTTTCCAAAGAATAGGTGCAGTGATCAATGTGGAAGAGGAATCCTTATCCAGGCATGTGTCAATAACTCACTTTCCCCTTCTTTCTCCTGTGTTTTGGGGATCAATTTGTATGAAAATCACAAACTTCATAAATGTGACTATATGTACAAATGCTTAAAAAGTGTAAGTGTAAAGGATGATTGAACACCAGTTTAAAGCTCCCCTCACCCATGTAATTAAGCCTGATGTTGGAGGAATGACTACATGTAGAAATAATGTTTTGTTTGGTTTTTCAAATCTTTTCTTTGGATTTTTTTGTTTACCTTAGCCAAAAGTTGGATAATAAGCCAACTTCTTATTAGAAATGTTTTTCTACTTCTACTAAAAAAAATCCCAGCAGAACCACATGTGTGTGTATCTTCATTCATTAGTTATTTCCTTACTTCCTGCTAATTGATATAAAACATACTCTTAAATGGAAGGTTAGAAAAGAAAGGTTACCTTCCTTCTTCATCCCAGCATGAAAACACTTTTTTAAACGACAGTATCTGCATTGATTTCTCTTGTCCTTATCAACAATACATTGCCGGCTAAATCTGTTGGACAGAATCGAGGGTAAATATATTAGAGCAGAAGTACAGGAGGATCCTGATTAGCATGACTGAAACAATTAATGGACACTGTCAAAACAATGTCTCCAACTATCAACCTTCACTGGTATTTTTTCTTTAATCAGCCTTGAAACATTTCTCTTTGCCATTCTTCTAAAGGGAATAATTTCTTGTGATGGGTAAGCAAAATCCCATTAGGTTATTCATCATCTTGTGAAAGCAAGGCATATAAATTTTGCTCTTGATTTAGCTGAATGTTTAAGGTTGCCTCGTTTTACAGCTTGATCCTCTTCTGCTGGTGCATATCATCAGGACTAAAGCACAACCACCACCACCAGTCGGGATCTGGAGAAATTTGTTCAGTGCATGTTTTAATGCAAACTGACCCAATTTAGCTCCAATTTGCCATGCTGTCTGAAAATGATGGCATTTACTGTCTGACACATCTGGAGAGCAGCAGCTTCCTAAAGGCTAACTAATACAGTCTAACTCTCAGTTTCTAGGAGACCACCAAATACTTTTAGGAGATGAGCTGTAGCCTTATATTCATTTGCTTGTTGGTTATGTTTGTATCCTGTCTTTCCTCCAAGTAGGCCATGATAGCATATATGGTACTCATCATCATGATCTTTCATCCTTGCAATAACTTGGCAAGGTAAGTTAAGCTGAGAGCCAGTAACTCACCAGAAGTCACCCAGCTTCATGACCAGGTTTCTATAACTTGATCCAACTCTTTAACTACTACACCACACTTACATGAAAGCAAGAAGGCACTCTGCCAATGCTTGTTCCCTCTATTTGAAATTCACAAACAGTGTATATAGACTTTCTTTGTTCATGAATGCTCCATGTAGCAATTGTGTTTAAAAGCCACTAATAAGACACATATGTTTAAACAAACAAACAAACCATCTAAGTTACCAGTGAGGCCCCTGTATTGGAACTAGGAAATAGTTCCAGATTGAGATGCATCTCTAAATATATTCTGTCCCTGCAGAGGTATCTTATATCAGGATACTGCTCTGACATTACCATACTGGTTTGGTTGCTAAAAAGTATGAATAAATGACAACACAGGGCTTTCCAGAAAAGAAGGGTCAAGACAGATGATGATCTGGCCAGAGAGGGAGCTGGATGCTTCTTACCTTGCTTGCTTGTCAGGGTTCAACCATCAGTTTAGCTGTGGTGATGTAGTACTTGAGTCAAATTAGATTGGTATAATCAGGTGGTTCAATTATTTGACAGTAGTTTTGAACCATCATGGCTTCATGGCTGAACTCAAGTGCACAGAGATGCATGCTAAAGCTCTACTGCTTTCAAGATACACACGTGCGTGCACACACGCACACACTTGGGCCAGCAGTCTCAAGATAACAGAAAGCCTTGAAACAGAGACCTGAGCCAAGTGATAGTAATAGCAGGAGAGAGAGTACCTTTTAACCTCGGCAGCAATCCTAGGCAACCTTCTTGAAAAATAAGGAGATAAAAGAAAATGCCAGAGGGCACCTTGTAGCAGAGATCTAGTAATGCTTGGTGGTGCAGGGGAGAGGGGAGGACGTGGATAACAGAGATATGGGAAGTCAAAATAAAGCAGGGGACAGTACAGCAGAGCAGAGTCTCAAAGTGAAGACTGCTGACATGGCAGTATCTGAAGATCAAAATCTACATTTATTGCTATTCGCAAATGAAACAGTTTTGTCCAGGATTGTAAATGGCTGCTGGGATAAGCAGTTCAATCTTTAATGTGCTGACTGCTATTCAGCAAGTAATCTTTTCTACATTAAACACTGGAGTGTTCCAAATAAAGCCATCTCTTTCACCATGGCAGTGGTGGCACAGCAGCACTGAGCTCAAGCAGTTTCTGGGTAAAGCTGACAATCTTCCAGTCCTGTTCTCTAATCTGTCATCCTCCATGGCATTCTTCTGGGCATTCAGTATGGATGTGTATAGGGGGCACCTCATTGACTTGGCTCAGCTTCATTCTTGGGAGCAGGCAGTAATGGATAAATACACAAGGAACCCAGCATAGCACTGCAACTCCCATGGGTAAATCAAGCCACTGTGTCAATCAATTCAAAGCAGGTATACTACCAACTAAGCTTCAGATACCGCATCAGACTTTGCTCTGTATTATATGTGTCTTCACCAAATATTACACTGAGTGTTGTTTTGGGTTTACAAAGAAAGGCAGGACACTACTTTATGTAAGTAAATACTGAATTCCTTCTATCTGATATTTCTCGTACCTGCAAGTGTAAACGTGGTTCTTTCGTATGCTGCGCCGGAAGAACCCCTTGCATCCGTCACAACTGGAGGCGCCATAATGCTTGCCAGTGGCTCTGTCTCCACATATTGCACAAAGGCCACCAACCCCACTGTCTGTTGTATTCATACTGAGTGGCTCAGTTGAGCAACTGTCTGAGGAGGGGTAAGAACAAAACGGATAATTAGGAGCAAAGCCTTTGGAGTGGGAGAAGGAAATTCAACACCGTGACTAAATTACACCAGCCTGGAGATTTTACTGGCCTTCTCTTTTAATTAGCATTTACCATTTAAAGACTGAAGAAAACACAGCATGCCTAATTACCTCCAATTGTTATTCTAATGAATGCTTTCAAACATATCATGCCCACTTGTCAGGATTTATGATGCTCATAACAATGAATGCTTTTGGGAGGGAAGGGTTTAAACTCCAAGACTCGCAGCAGAAGTTACAGTGTTATGTCAATTGCCCAGCTCCAAATGTGCTTCTAACTGTTTAAATATCCTTGTTAGTTTTAAATAGTTCAGAAATGCTGCCGTAAGGCAACATTTTCTGAGAGGCTGAAAAATCACCATGTATTAATTTTCAAATGACTTGATGGTGGCTGCCATACACTGTTGACCCTCCCTATTGAAAAGGTATGATCAGTTAAGACAGTGCCAATTGTTAGCAGTTGGCATTTCTGTCTGGATTCAGCCCCCTGTCTATCTAAATCGATAGAAACCATAATCTCTTTAGGGCACAATCCTATGCCTGTTTCTATGCATTTTTTTAAGTCCAATAATTCCCAGCATTCCCTGCCAATCTAGCTCACTGCAGAATGCACAGCTAGGATTACTTCTTTAGTATATGCTTGCAATTCTGTTCCAGAAAGTGCCATTTGACATTTGTCAGGTTTAGATGTGTAAAGAGTTTTCTTTTTTTCCTTTTCCTTCATGTAACAGCATCAACTGCAAGCCTTGATAAATCTGTACACACAGGGCTGAAATTCTGATTTGAATTCCTTCCTAAATTCTGCAGCAAGGAAAGATAAAAGCATAATTCTGTAACTAGAAGAAATTCACTATGCTTTTGTATTTACATCCTTGTAAATTTATTCAGTTATTTCATTAAAACAATTTGGTGGAAAGGTGTTTGATTTTAGTTTAGTTGTTGGAAGGATAATGGATCCATCAGTGGACAAGCACAGAAGGTTAGCCAAAACCCCTATCTCATCAACATGGCCAACCTTATAGTTACTAAGCAATGGAGTTCAGATTGTCATGATTCTCTCTTCTAGTTACCCCAAAGTTATATTAGTCCTGTAAAGTTAATTCACAATTTATCAAATGTCCCAAATTTTGATGAATTAAGTGAGCAGATTGAATGCTAATTAGTTGGTTCTCCCCAAATATGTCTACTATCCTTCTATTTTTTAATATCACCCATCCATGGTTTAAGATCTCCTTTATTCAGTTAAACAGAATCATACACACACACACATTTTTCAATAAAAAAAATGAGCAAATAAAAAAGGAAATAAGGGTAGTGACTCAAAATTATCTTTCTCTTTCATTAGTGATAACAAACAATAAATGCCAACAGGTCAAATCTGTGTTTGTATTAGTATGATTGTAGACTAATTTTCAAATATTTATTTATTTATTTATTTTAAAGCAAACTGCCCTAGTACTATTTCAGTTTTAACTAATTTGATATGATAAAAACTTAAAAAATAGAGAATATTATTATGATATTTGCCACAAAGACTCCGCAGTTGTTCCCACAGCTCCTGCCCAAACAAGTTATCTGTTTATATATGAAAAGTTAAATATTGTTTCCTTCATATATGACTCACCGGTCTTATTGCACTGGGTCAAAAACTCTTTACATGGATGTTTCCAACCGAACTAAAGTTAAAGAGTTACTCTAATCAAACATCAAGAAATTCTCTTAGATAAACATAAACTTCTACAGAGTTGTTGTGATTAAGAAATCAGTCCAGTTGCATATCGATATTCTGTGTTTAATTTTACTGTATATTAAATAGATCAGCTGCAAATTGGCATCAGAATATTTTCAGTATAGTCAATTATTTTTCTCTCTGGATCTGTGTATCTTAATGGTCAATTTAAATATCATGTACAAAACTATTCCTTCTTCTAAGCTGACAGTGGCAGTTACACAGTCATCTTACAGAAAATAAAAGAAATTCAGAAAGATTTTCTATTGTGATTTTCTATTGCTTGACAAGTTGACCAATGACAGGACTATGTAGTTATTTTATTACATAGAACTAGTATCTTATTTTCTGTACCAAAATGAATATTATTTTAAAAATATATTATTTAACATTATGTAGACAGTGAACAGAAAGAAATCAATCTCTCCTTGAGTTTTCCAAAGACTAAGTAAAACTATAATTGCAACGCTAATTAGCATTACACTTCATTTGATCATACCACCACATAGTTTTTCTACAACTAAGAATATCCCATTTTTAGCATTCTAATGTTGATTTTACTGATTATTGAAAAGTCATTATCACATTGTTCTAACTCATTGGTCTGTTTGTTTGTTTTTCATAATATGCACTTCTCTGAACTTCTTGGAACTTAATACATTATGGCATGTTTTAATATTCTTTGTGACATGCCATTTTTGCATTCATCTAAAAATTGACTTTCCAATTTTAGCCATTAAAAGACAATGAGAGACATATTGTATTCACTACTATTTAAAAAATAAATGGAATTAATTCATGAACCTACCAATAATATTACTTCAGAGTACTTTGGTAGCTTACAATATCTTTTTTATAATCAAAATAGAATATTATTAATTTTAGTGATGAAGTTTAGTGATGAAGAGTAAAGAAAAAAGTGAAAGGAACAGAGATGAAGGTTTGAAATCAAATTGGTTACATTAATAATAATGAAACATCTGGCTAACTCTTTGCAGTTTTAATTTATTTTTCTTCCTTCTTCAGTCCTACTTAGTTTTTCATCTCTAAAAGAATTTAAACTCACCACTGCCATTAAACAAGACCTGCATTGTCTCAAATTCCAAACTGGTGTAACTTGGATCTAAGACATCGGTGTAGCTTGCCATATCTATGTCTAGGACTTGCTGTGTGATCTTCATCATTTAATGTGAACCTACAAAATGACAGCTTGCTCAATGTAGACGGTGCAATCCTTTCTATTTTCCGTCAATCAATGATTCATAATCCAATTGTTAACTGTAATAGTATCACTTATGTGTTGCAGTGGGAGGAGTTGTAAAACATATTCAACCTGACATACTGTACCTGTATCTCTTTCCTTTTTTATGTAATACAATTACCAATTGCTTATGATAATAGTGGAATGTTTCATGGAAAGTTTTAAGTGGGAGTTCTGACTGACAGGGATGCTTTGAAATTTGCAAGTGCTTCCGACTAAAAGAATCTGACTTTAAAAATACGTTTTAAAAGTTGTCCAACAACCTAGTAAAGCTCTTGTCATTTCAGTAGCATAATTCACAGCAGCAGAAGTTGTTGCTTGTGTATTAACTGTGCATCACAAATCTTGATGATCTACTTAAAATCACCCAGAAAACTACCAGTCAATCTATGGGTAAATTGTTTGCCTAACCCTGGCCTACACCATATAACCTGTCCACCACAAAAACAGTTGGATGTATGGGTTCCACTGGTATTTGTGCAGTTTTCATATAGAAGTTGTGTACATGGTAAGAGAAGGAATACAAGCTCATGATTTGGTCCTGTACCCTATACTGGTACACTTTATTTGCTGGAGAATTCCATTCAGTAGACCTAAGAGTCACTAAAACAGCTTGAACAGACTTGTTGAAGTAATGGGTGTACTTGTTCCTTGCAAGTATACCCATTGCACAGAAAATAACTACTGCACGAAGAAAGGAAAGCTTCTTAGATATGTGGATCAGAGGTCCTGGTTTATGTTCTATGGACACTTACCAACTGGCCAGCACATACATGAGTAATTTGAAGGAAACAACTATTTGCTTGCATGATACATTTTCCTTAAAGAGCTCCTTAAAGTTTGATTTGTTGCATCTCATGAATAGTTAAAATGGTATTGTTCAAATGGGAAAATGAAGTTTGGGTATCTGAAGTTTGGGTATTGATCAAGTATAAGGTAGCCATCCAAGGTTTCATTAACATTACATTCAGGAATTTACATGTTTTTACTTGTATTTGTGGGTGAACCACTACTAATGGTGCTTGTGATAAACTGACCCTTCTTGCTAGCCATGAAGTGGCAGAAAAATACAGTGATCTCTTTCCCTCCCAAAAGTGCAAGGACATCCAGGAGTGATTTGGCTGCAGTACTGCTGAGGTGGTTGTAATACTGCATCCCTTAATTTTAGCCACGCAGGCAGGGCTGTGGCTCACAAACAGGAAAGGTAGATCAGGTATTTTCTTGTTCACTTCATTGCTGTGATAAACAGACATTTGCAGACATATGGCATCCAAATGGGCAAACTCCCTTTCTCATGGAAAATGATGACTCTTTGAATGTCATATGGCTGAGGCACTCAACAGCACTTCCACAGAACGGCACACAGCTGGACAACTTCTTTGTCTCTTTTTCCAATAAGAAAGGAAGAATGATTATAGGTGACCAAAGCAGCAAAGATTCAAGCAATGGTAAGTGATCATAATGTATGTACTGGTGGCTATGGCCACATATTAGTAAAGAAGGCTTCCTTCCTTTAGTGTTGCTTTTTGGATTTCTTCCTGAAATTTGGGGTGTACTGACTTGGACTGATTCAGGATTCATGCAAAGCAATGCAACATTTCTCCAAATCACTCCAGAGTGAGTCCAGGTCTTCCTGAATTCATGAGCTATATGGACATTTGAAGATAAAGAAACAACAGACTTGCAAAAATTCAACATTTATCCTCAAACTTTCTGTATGTGAAAAATAACAGAATAAGGAGAAGCAGTAGGAAGAATTGGGGTGTGGGTTTATGACTGAGGAGATTGGCTTCTAATCACAAGAAATATTTTTTCAAGGGCTCTCCAACCACAGCACTTTGGAATAGGGATATAGTGAAAACATAGTAAAAATTTGTTCAGTTCGTTCCTAATGTAAACTTCCTCAATTTTGCAATTTTGAAAAACTACATGGACAGAAA